TCTAGGCAGGTGCTCTACCACTGAGCCACACCCCCAGCCCCTCACTGAGGGATTCTAGGCAGGGGCTCTACCACTGAACCACACCCCCTGCTCCTCACTGGGGGATTCTAGGCAGGTGTTCTACCATTGAACTACATCCCCAGCCCTTAAAAAAAAAAGTTTTAGACAGTCTCACAAAGTTGGCCAGGCTTTCCTTGAACTTACTTTGTAGTCTAAGCAGTCCTTAAGTTCAATCTTTTTCCTCAGTCTCCTGAGTAGCTGGAATTACAGGCCTGTGCCACCAAATCAGTCTTAAAGGTCCAGTTTTTTTTTTTCCTCAGTGGTACTGGTCTCTGTGGCAACATTAATCTTACCTCTATAAGTAAAGCCTAGGCATGATTTTAATACACATGAGCATCCAGGGGCCCTCAGGAATGCCACCACCCACAAGAGGCACATCTATCAACTAGACAGGGATTTTGACAGTCTGTGGTAGTACCAAGCCACAGAGCACCAGATCCCTTCTGAACATCTTAGGTTATTGCTTCAGTGGACACTAATGGCCAAGTTTGCGGTAGTCTGGCATTTCACCTATTTTACCAGAGAAATCAAGGCTCACTAAAGTTAAGTTTGCTTAAGGCCAACAGCTCCTTTGTGATGCTGTAAAGGTGCACAGGGGGAGGTTTTTCCAGCCAGAGGCCTGATGGCCACAGGGTACAGCCAAGACTGAAGGCCGTCCTGAGAAAGGGGCTTACTCACCTAAGGCAGGAACCGCACTGCTGAGTCTCCCAGTGAGAAAGAGGTTCACTGTGGAAGACACAAAGAGGCATCAGTAAGGGACTTGGACTCCAGGGCACATGTTTGGGCTGCAGTGAACACAGGACAATACAGTTGAAATCAAGGGAGGCCCCTTTATCTCACTGGGCATGGCCCAGATCACTGCCAGAAACCCTCCCTCCCAGCTCTGTTCCATCTGGGATAGGCAAAGACAGGAACTCAGAGGTCTTAGGACCTGCCCTCATATACCCACAGCCAGAAACAGCAGTGTGCTAGCCTGACTGTATTGTCCTGCTTCAGAATCAGCTGGTTTTCTGTCAGGCTTGAGGCTACCCATCACTTAGGCTTAGTCCCAAGAACTTTGCATTTCAAGAGGGTTTCTACCACCCGAAGGGCTTCCTCCTTTGACGGGCATCCCACCGTCCTAAAGGCAGAGTTTGCCTGCTCCCACCGCAGTAAGGGTCCACCTCCACAGGAGTGTCCATAGCCTCCATCTACTGTTTTACTTCAAGGGCTCCAGACTGAAACAGAGAGTCTAGGCCAAGTGAGAAGCAAATTTCACTTCCTGGGGATCAGGGCATCCCCTCCCCGATTGAGGCATTCATCTCCAGAGCAGTCATTCTCCATTTGGTGAAGAAACAGGGAGTCACCCCATCCCCACCCCAGGGCATCCAGGCTCTGCTAGACCCAGACATGGACCCTAGACATGGACATCTCCTGAGCAAGGAGAATCTTAAATCTTACCTCTGCCCTGCCCACCTGGGGAACACAACAGCCAGGACCCAGATGCCATGGCCACCCACAGCATGTGAAGCAGGCACGTTGGGCATATGCCACTACTTCGACAGCTCATCCAGCCTGTGCAGTAACACACACACACACACACACACACACACACACACACACACACACACACTCACTCACTCACTCTTCTGTATTCTTGGAGGCCAGATGAGAGTTACAACTTAAAATGAATGAGCTCCCCGTCCAACTTATCATTTCAGTGGTTTCAGGGAGCCTGTCAGGTTCCTGGGCCCTCAACGGTGACATCATAGGGTGTCCCCTAATGACCCCAGCTCTTCAGGGCCTCCCTCCTTCATCAAGGTAAATAAAGAGCCATGTGGGTTGGGGATTTAACTCTTTCCTTCCCCTCTCCAGCAATGGGCCCCGAGAAAGTGGACCAAAAAAAAATGTCCTGGTCTGGGAAGGAGCCTTCTAACCTAGGTTCCAGTCCCGGCAGGTTCTTGGCCCTCCCCAGAACAGACTCCCACTCCCCTTAGGGCTGAACAGCCTATGGCCGTCTGGGTCTAGGAAGACACAATGGGAAAATGAGTTCTCACATCTGCCTCCCCCAGCCCCCCAGCCCCCCAGCTGATTCTCCATCTTTGGCTAGCTCCCAGGCCTGCCCTGACTCCAGGCAGGAAACGGTTTCTTCTTCAGGGAGCAGCAGTCCAGGCCTTTGTCCGCAGCTCTGGAGGCCAGAGCACAGCTCAGGCAAGCCGGCCCGAAAGCGACAGGCAAACCCCAGCCTCCCCTAGGAAGCCAAGGCCGGCGTTCTGGCTCCCACCGCCCACACTCCCCACCCCACCCCCGCCAGCTCCCGGGCCTGGAGTGCCGCTTTGTGGGAGTCGCCCTCCTCGGTAGCCCAAGGGTGCTGGGGAGCTGCGTGCTCTGCAGCCCGGGCACGGGAGCCATCGCAGTGCGGGCTCCAAGCCTTACCCTGGCCGGCCCCGCGCGGCCCACTCACCCAGGCAGACGACTGCGAGCGGCGCCCTGGCGCCCG